GATGCTTATATAGTGAGAAATAGTTAGCCGTTATTTAACGGCTAAAAACGTATGATGCTTATATAGTGGGAAATATTTCGCCGTTAATTAACGGCTAAAAATACATGATACTTATATAATGGAAAATAGTTAGCAGTTAAATAACGGCTAAGTTTAGCTGTCTTCATATGTATATGGGAATTATTTAGCCGTTAATTAATGGCTAAATTTCTCGTTTATATATCACATAATAATGGCTCCTATCATTATGGCATTTGCAGGTGATTTCCTGGAAACGCAATTTTGGTGTTGTCCTGGGTTGGGGCATTTAAACCCCTTTATTAAGCTCCATCGTGGGGTGTTTGTATGAATCGCCTAGTCCCACCGCCATTAACCTCCTCTTCAACAATATATCATAACCTCCTCTCCATATATGTGTTTTGGAAATATTAGCCGTTAATAAAGGCTAAGTTTAGCAGTCTCTTTACATGTTTTGGAGGTATTTAGCCGTTAAATAACGGCTAAAAACGCATAATACTTATATAATGGGAAATAGTTAGCCGTTAAATAACGGCTAAGTTTAGCTGTATCCTCATGTATATCGGAAATATTTAGCCGTTAATTAACGACTAAAAATGCATGATACTTATATAGTGGAACATAGTTAGCCGTTATCTAACGGCTAAAAATGCATGATACCTATATAGTGGGAAATAGTTAGCCGTTAAATAACGGCTAACTTTAACGGTATCCTTATATATGTCGGAAATATTTAGCCGTTAATTAACGGCTAAAAATGCATGATACTTATATAGTGGGAAATATTTAGCCGTTAAATAACGGCTAAGTTTAGCTGTATTCTTATATATATGGCAAATATTTAGCCGTTAATTAATGGCTAAAAATGCATGATACTTATATAGTGAGAAATAGTTAGCCGTTATTTAACGGCTAAAAATGCATGATACCCATATAGTGGGAAATATTTAGACGTTAATTAACGGCTAAAAATGCATGATACTTATATAGTGGGAAATAGTTAGTCGTTAAATAACGGCTAAGTTTAGCTGTATCCTTATATTTATAGGAAATATTTAGCTGTTAATTAACGGCTAAGTTTAGCAGTCTCGTTACATGTTTTGGAGGTATTTAGCCGTTAAATAACGGCTATATATATCCTTATATATGTCGGCTATATATATATATCCTTATATATGTCGGAAATATTTAGCCGTTAATTAACGGCTAAAAATGCATGATACTTATATAGTGGGAAATATTTAGCCGTTAAATAACGGCTAAGTTTAGCTGTATTCTTATATATATGGCAAATATTTAGCCGTTAATTAATGGCTATAAAAATGCATGATATTCTTATATAGTGAGAAATAGTTAGCCGTTATTTAACGGCTAAAAAAATAGTTATGTTATTTAACGGCTAAAAATGCATGATACCCATATAGTGGGAAATATTTAGACGTTAATTAACGGCTAAAAATGCATGATACTTATATAGTGGGAAATAGTTAGTCATTAAATAACGGCTAAGTTTAGCTGTATCCTTATATTTATAGGAAATATTTAGCCGTTAATTAATGGCTAAAAAGGTATGACACATATAGTGGGAAATATTTAGCCGTTAAATAACGGCTAAGTTTAGCTGTATTCTAATGTATATGGCAAATATTTAGCCGTTAATTAATGGCTAAAAATGCATGATGCTTATATAGTGAGAAATAGTTAGCCGTTATTTAACGGCTAAAAATGCATGATACTTATATAATGGAAAACAGTTAACCGTTAAATAACGGCTAAGTTTAGCTGTCTTCATATGTATATGGGAATTATTTGGCCGTTAATTAATGGCTAAATTTCTCGTTTATATAAAGATTTATGAAAATTTAGCCGTTAATTAATGGCTAAATTTTTCGTTTGCATAAATAGTTAATGAAAATTTAGCCGTTAATTAATGGCTAAATTTTTGGTTAGTAAAGAGTAAAATTTAGCCGTTATTTAATGGCTAAATTTTTGGTTAGTAAAGAGTAAAATTTAGCCGTTAATTAATGGCTAAATTTTTCTTTAATAATAATACAAAGTGACTTAACGGCTAAATTTTTCTTATAACTACAGTGTGAATTTATTGCAAATTTTGCCATTGTCTAAACACCGAATCTGGATGAAAGATGAAATCGTCTCACTAAACGCAGCCAGATTATATTCTGCAGGATGGCCGCACAATTCAACATGTCTTTCAGGTTAGCACTATAATTTATAGTTCGTAAGAGTATAAAGTGCGATCTCCCTATTATCGCTTAAGCTTTCTTTGATTAAACTTTAATAAAACCAAAAGACTCACAAAACAACGCAGACATTCTCCTGCATAGGTTTCACTGTATATTGTGTACAAATCGTCAAGTGGTCGCTTACAAGAGGTTTAAAACAATAGAAAATCATTTTAAACCGTAAGCCCCAAATATTGGTCGCGGTCGCTTACAGGAGGTGATCGTTTACTAGAGGTTCCAACTGTAAGGCTTTGACTGGGAAAGTTTTGGTGTTTTGGATTGCCGGTCGCTTGTGGGAAATGGTCGCTTAGGAGAGGTGGTCGCACACGGAAGTTCGACTGTATCTGTTTTTAAGTCGGGTAAATGTCCATGTTTGTCCCTTCTTGCGCACCGCAAAATCAGTCGCAAAAATCCTGGCATAATATTTTTCGCGAGTGTTTCTAGGATATATAACACGTTTATCACATCGACCCGTAAATAAAAAATTAGGTAGTTGTTCTATACCCTTTGTGGTTCATCCAGGTAGAAGTCCTGGCATGTTATTATGCCTGGGCGCTTCTAGGATATACAACAAGTTTAGCATTTCGACCCGTAGAAAAAAGTTATCCTTTTTGGTTCATATAGGTAGAAGTCCTGGTATGTTATTATGCCTGACTGAGCGCTTCTAGGATATCTAATGAAACGCTTATTATTTCAAGAACCGGAGAAAAACCGCTGAAGCAACAGTCATAAATGTCACTTGCTAGAGGATTTGCCGAAAGAAATCATTTGATTTGAGCACAATTTATAAAAACTAGCGTCAGATTTTTGGCATTTGGAAAGATATCTTGTAGTTATTTTTTTATCTCAGGTAATTTTTTTTTTATTATTATTCAAGTTAATTAGCATACATTACCATACCCAAAAACAAAAGATAAACAAAAATTACATAAGATAAAATATTAACTATAACATATACAAGCACTGCTAGTAGCATATTATGCTACTTTTACGAGCACAATCTATCATCAATCAGCTCGCCACCATCCTCGTCTTCACTTCCCCTCGGACGCCTTATCGTGGTAGAGTAAATATGTGGGAGGAGTTGTTTGAGTGCGTGATTGGTTCCTTTCTCATGTACATAGTCTTTTTTTCACCGTTCATACTATTTAGTTAATGTGTTACTAAATTATTATAACTTAGTGGAAGGAAGGATTCGATTCCCTGGCGAAGGGTTGGCTCCTGTTTGGAGGAGCCCTTCCATTTTGGCTGTCTCTTGAAAATTTCTAGCTGCGCGCCTTTTAACTATTAACAAATTGTACTAATCTAACTTGGAACACAATGGTTATGATACTGAGCAAAATATAATGCATGGTTTCTTTTGTACTGGATACCGAACCCAAAAAGGCGCTGTAAATGGACTTTGCTTTGTCGTTCGCAATGTGTATCGTATCATATTTATCAATTCCAACGTAAATTAACGAGATTCCACTCTGTGATTCGCTGTCATCATCGTTTCTTAGGGTGATCCGGGGCTTCAAACCTCACAGTCCTGCTAACCTGCTTCTTGCCTCTGGGTCTGAAGGAGAATAGAAAGTTACTTTAAAAATCTGTCAGTTGGGTAAGGTATATTTGTCTCAATCTTTTGAGAAAAATCCTGAAAAACCCAAAATCAGGGTCTATTAACATTTCGATCGGTAAATGAGATTCCTGTCCTGAAGGCAAAAACGAAAACAGGGTCTGGTTTCTCCTATGAAAGCAAACTATAGAGTTGTCTTGGTAACGATTATCTAATCAAAACTGTCAAATAATCAACAGACGAGTTGCAGACAATGATCCCAGCGCTTCTTTCGAGAATAAGACAGTGGTGGCGTTATTTCCTGCGGCCACAGATGAGTCTTTTAGCCCTAAAATAGACTTCTCCAGCCGCTCAGATAGTGCGGGTGGCGCAAAGAATAGTAAGCAGGAAAAAATGAAGGGGTTGGGGCTTAGGTTAGGTCAGAGAGGGAGAAGAAACCCTCCTCTCTCCCTCTTTCTTTCTTCCTTCTTTTTCCCTGCTCTTCGTCATACTGATCAGTCATGAGGTATGAAAAGCAATTTCGCAATTGCAATGGCCTTACGCGTAAATTTAAACTACCAATCGAAAGAGCCAATCATTTGCTTTTACACCAATTAGTCTTTTTTAAGTATATATTTCGCTGAAAAAAAAAACAGTGCGGGATTAAGAACTGGGCCTGAACTGAGGCCAGCCTAGATGGATTTCCAGAACGTATATAACCGAGAACAGCCAGCGCAGGCGTCGCTACTTGGGCAAGTCTATATTTTTTCGTTGATTTTTTTTCTATCTGGTACGACTAAGAACCTAATATTTTGCCTCAATAGGAGTATACGGAGATAGTCTTATTAATAGAGCAGAGCATGGATGGAGCATTTTCTTGAACTAGTGACAAGTAATCCGTCTGAGACAGTCACTCAGGTTCAATTTTGCCGATAACGTTTACTTTATCTGCCTCATGAACACTCTCGACTTTTCTTGGAACTGAGACTGCCACAAACTAGATAAAACGTGCCTTACGCTTTTGAACTCTATCCCTTGTACTTTTTCCCTTTTTCAAACCAGGCGAACTTTACTGATTTTAAACCTTAGAGAAGTAACCCAAAGATTTCCCCTATTTTCACATCAAAGTTGTAACACAGCTACAATAAGTAAAAATTCAAAAATTATAGCTGTATATTCGATGGACAGTTTACATGGACATACCTAGATCTTAAGAGAACTACACCATCTACTTTAGTTTTCTCAGTCACATCGCTCCACGTCAGGCCATTATCTGTTGAGTACTCAACCTTTAGTCCTGGAAGTATAGTTTTGACTTGCAGTTTCCCATCAACTATTCTACAAAAGAAACCATAAATTGATACTATGAGCACAGTTTAGTGATTTTTGGAAAACAAAGGTCATCATTATATGTTGGTTTTAGTCCAAACGTGGCTTATGGGGTGTTCAGTGAATCCTGTCTCGAGGCTAGTCTCTTACTCAACCGTTTTTAACTTGTCATGCAACGTTCCTCTCCTATAAATGTTGCCTTGAAGTGTTTAGGTATCTGAAGTATATTCATTAGCATATTACGTATGAAGCGTGACATCATCATCATCATCATCATCTTCACAATCTCATTCCCTTGAATCCAGCACGATGACATATGAGAGCGGAAAGGATAATCTCATACCCAGATCTCCCATGGCCAAGGAAAAACAAAGATCTCTTTTATTACGGAACTAGAGACAGTGAGATCTGGGCACAAGATTACTGAAAGGACAAAACGCAACTTCGGGTGCTTAATCCGCGCGCGCCGTCCTCACTGCCGTCGCGTTTTCATTTCTACTAAAAAGAGAAAAGGGGGCAAATAATAGATAGTACATTGACCAAGGCTAAGAAGTCAAGTGATTGACTTTTATCAGTCACGTGGGTGTTATAATGAGTTAGTCATGTGGTTTACAATGAGGTGACTGGTTTTCGTGACAGATGGCTGGGATAGATCACGTGGCCGTTAGTTGGTTAATGAAGTGTTACTTCCGTCATTGATGACGTTAGCATGACGTCAATACATTTAAAGCAGGTCAAATGTTATTACATTTAGGGCCGTTTATTAGTATAGGTAATAGCATGATTTGTATTGATATTTGGCATAAATACCACGAGTGATATTTCAAAATTGTTTTACGTAATTTCATTAGCCGTTAGGCGAGTGAAATTTGAGACAATTTTGAAATATCACGAGTTGTATTTATGCCAAATATCACGTACAAATCATGCTATTATTTGTTTATACTACTACCCGCAAAAGGTTTGAAATTTTCACATGTAGGTATTTCAAATTAAGCTGAAATACCACTGCTCTAAGCCAATCAAATTGCCGTAATTTTTCATGTAGTAGTATAACAACTAGTAATAGTTGACACTACAGCTGCCCCCGTTCTGTATACTGTCGGTCAATAGTATTCTTGGTCGTTGTGTAGCTCTTTGAAATATAACGATTCATAATGAAGATTTCACACATATTCCATACAATAGGTGAGATAAATACAGGAAATGCAAGGTTCCAGGCACAGTTTCAGCTCGATTTACACAGCTTTGATCAAAACATTCTCAGTTTCGAGAACAGTTTATTCTAAACCATAAGAAAAGATTTAACTAGTAATAGTTGACACTACAGCTGCCCCCGTTCTGTATATTGTCGGTCAATAGTATTCTTGGTCGTTGTGTAGCTCTTTGAAATATACCGATTCATAATGAAGATTTTCACACATATTCCATACAATAGGTGAGATAAATACAGGAAATAAACGCAAGGTTCCATGCACAGTTTCGATTCGATTTACACAGATTTGATCAAAACATTCTCAGTTTCGAGAATAGTTTATACTAAACGATAAGAAAAGATTTAATTAGTAGTTATTTTCGCTATTTCCATTTCACTTTTTACCTTTAGTTCATTTTATTTGCCCGAAAGTAAGCCTTAGAAATTAAAAGGACGTTTTATCAATTCACGCTCGCGCATTCTAGTCTTTTTTTAAACTTTATAGCGGAAAGACATCTGTGAACAGGGAATAAGTCAGCACTGCAGAATGCGATGGTTGGCGAATTTCTGTAATCGTCCATCGTTCTGCTAGTGATAAGCTAGCCGTTGAATCATTCACTCTTCTTGCTTGTTGGGGGCCGAGTCTTATTCCGGTTAAAGAAAGAGAAAGAGAGTCTAGCAAGGTTTCCAATCAAAAATTTGTGAACTCGTGTCTGGCAAACTCAATTAGTGTTAAAATATACACTGTTATACGCACCTTATAACTTCATCTGGGCTTAACGAGTGTCTTTTGGTCCATAACTTTCAAAACAATTGCTCTACAGCATGTCACTAATAACATGTAACGCAAAAGCGTATCGAAGTATGACTGCACAATAAATGTCAAAAAATCTACCTAAGCGGTTCCTGCGAGTTTTTCTGTCTTTACCTCATCCTAACCATTTCGTACTTGAGGGCGCAAACAATAGAAACGTCATCATTACCTACCGATTCCTCGCGGCCCCTGTTCAAGCAAGTCGAGATTTTTTCTGGTACACTGACTGTATATTTCAACTGTAAGTACTTTCCTTAATGTACGCGCGAGTTACTAGAGTGCCTCCTCGGGATTTCGCCTTCTGGGCGAAATTCCTACGAGGGCAATTAGGCCTTCAACACATACAGGATATGCTGAGTTCCATTCTTAAACTTGTTCCTTTTTGGTTGTTGTTATTGTTGTTTTTTTTATTGGTTTATTTTTTTTTAATATATTTTCTTTTTCCTATTGGTTCCCGTTCTTCCTTCTTCTAGCCTTTAGCCTTTGCAGAGCGAGGTTCTGCGATTCACTTATTCCTAGTTTAAAAATACTTTTCATTCAAATTCAGAGGAATAAATATTTGAAACACCTTTTATATCATAACTCCTAACCTCTTCTTTTGACATGACCGTATTGTCACTCGGAGGTTTGTATTTTTGTTCTTACTTTTCTACCGACAGGGTATGTCTTAATGGAATAATTGCACGTTATCTTGTTGAGTGAACCAAAACTAACCTTGCCCCTGGAGGTTTTACGTGATACGCTACTCCTAATTGATCTAACCGAGTCAGTTCCTTGTAAGCCAAAGTGTTAGCGAATTTAACCCAATCCTTTGTTCTTTCGCGCGCTCGTAACCTTTTGTCCACGATATTTTCCCATGAAGCTTCGTGCCATGCACGTTCTGCTACGGCCAGGAGTCGCGGAAATAGCATTTTGTACATTTGGTCAGCGGTGCGTACTGTCTCAGTCCAAAACGACCCTTCAATTCCTGTAAATAATAAGCAAAAACGACTGGCATGAAATCAGGATTTAACATATCCTCTCGGCGTTTTGTGCACAAAAGAAAAAATCAATATCTGTTAAGATATTCTAGTATATGGAACAATTGATGTTACTGAATTTATTCAATTAAATTTGACAGTTTCAAGTGTAGACAAAGATGGCTTTTCGGATCCGGCTCCTCAGTGCAGTGCACAGAGTATGAAGGTAAAACACTGTGCAAAACAACCTACCGAGGAGATTTTCCACACCGTTTCTAATGTTGTTTGTGTCAATGTGTTCTTTTGGTGAATATTCAAAAACTTTCTGGGTGTCAGTGAAATTAGCCGCCCAATAGTTGCCTCGATCTTCAAAGTCCTCTTCTTGAGGGTGGTCAAGGTACAGGCAGTCAGGAGGGGTTAAAATAACCTGAAAACATCAAATGATAACAGACAAATGATATTATGCAACGGAATTAACAGGAAGCATTCATTGTGTATATTCACACAGGGCGTCACCACAGGAGTTATTTGTAACCTTGATAGCAGAGGAGAGCAGTTAAATTTTACAGTTGCACAGTGATAGCGCGAATCGGCTTTGCTTTCTTTTAAAACGAATATGAACTCGATCGATCAAACCGTCACGCAATCGTGTTATAAAGCTGCTAAAATAATATCCAAGGCTAATTAAAAGTGGTAACGAACGTCGCCCGAAGGACAGCACATTCGGAATGCGAAGCTTTCTGAACGTTGCATATTGCCTAACGGGAATGTAACGTAATGACTGTGTGATCCAAACAACCATTGTGAATGGGATGTTTTAGCCTGGGTAAGGGTAGGGTAAGGGGAGGAAGGGAAAACGGGAGGGAATTGGGGAGAAAAGGGGAAGAAACACCTGCTATAAGAACCTCCTTTTGTTCATTTCTGCGGACGCTGGCGTCCGCAAATTCCTGATTGGCCGAGCGGTAATGAGTAACTTATCGGCGTGTATTTATTAGTGAGAGACAAACATGATGAAGGCATAAAGGAAATGCGTTCTACTGGCATAAGCTTTGGAAGATCAAAATTACTCCAATGATGTAGCTACTTCACGTTAAAGCCCGAACTAGAATCAACTGTAATAGCTCCTTTAGCGGGTAGAAATGCTCAGGAGGGTTTGTATACTGGATTTCTCCAAACACCGAGCGGCGATTCATACGATGCATACGGTGCGGTAGTTTCGAAAACGAAGACCGAAGCACGAAGCACCCAAAACTCGAAAACGAAGCACCCTTGATCGAAAACGAAGCACCCAAAACTCGAAAACGAAGACCCCTAAATCTCGAAAACGAAGCACCCAAAACTCGAAAACGAAGCACCGAAGCTTCGCCCCACCGGCCGCCTTCTCAATAGCTTATCTCTCCCTTTTTTTATTCGCTCCTTTTATTTTAAAATTCTCCTATTCCCCACCATAGAGCCTGGTCCCAGGCTATTACCCTACAACAAATTCTGCCTGGATCTGATCTGATCTGATCTCGCAGCGTCATAGATATCCAATATGTTAGACTGCAAAACAATCGGGTTTTTTCTCAAAATCAGTAAAGAAGTCGGTAAAGCATGGCGTAAGAGTAATACGCGCGAGCCTCACACTCCGTTTTCAGCCTCGTTTCAATCCTTTTGTGTTACTGCTCACGCGTACTTGAATACGCCAAAATCTGCTGACGGACAGTTTTGAAGTCTACATAAACATGTATGTGTACCGAAAAAATGCATATTTAGGTAAGATGTATCAAGTATAGCGAGACCAATAATAAAATTAATACAGTATATCCTGTCTAGAAAAGTTCAGTTAAACAGTTGGCAGGCTCTTATAAAACCTTGGGATAGATTTTGTGGACCTTTGGAGGTGCGGACGCATCCGTTGCCTCCACCTGAATCAGGTGCTTTGTTTTCGAGTTTTGGGGTCTTCGTTTTCGAGATTTAGGGGTCTTCGTTTTCGATCTAGGGTGCTTCGTTTTCGAGTTTTGGGTGCTTCGTTTTCGAGATATGGGTGCCTCGTGCTTCGGTCTTCGTTTTCGACTGCTTCGTTTTCGAAACTACCCATACGGTGCACCTACCGCACTGTGGACCACCACACAGTGCACATACCACACAATGTACGGACCCAAGCTACTCACAGTACCACAAGGTGCACCTATCACACAGTCCACCTACCACACAATGCACCTACAACAAGCCGCACTTGCTGCATCTAGAACAGAGTGCACGGCGCCCAGTCCCCTTGTATACTGTGTGGTAGTTTCGGTGTGGTAGTTTATCCCATAGTATATGTACGTTCAAAGACTTTAAAGTCTAATTAGTCGAGCTTTCTTTAGCAGATGAACCTTTTTTTTGTCTGTCTGTCGCGAAAAAAGGGCATGCTCCCAGGCGTTCCTAACGGAGACCGTGGAAACTAGGGATAAGTATCGTGACGAATTTCATTGTATGCAAATGAGTCTTGTGATGGGCATGACGTTTATTTTCGGCGATCACTGAAATGACGCATGTAAGTTGAACACATTTTTTTTTGCTGTTTGGCAATGACGTAATTTTCCCCAAATCGCGGCCCTTGATTTTCGTGTAAGTATGCACGTGTATTAAAATGTAAATACACCGAGTAGGATGAGAAAATATTATTGTGGTGTATTGAAGCGTTACGTTTCTCAGAATATTGTCGCAATTTCTGGAACTCTACGGTTAAATAGATTCACTTTGTTGTACGTATTTAATTGATAGATTTTCGCAGCTGTTGAGATGTGAAGTCGCGTTGCACTTGATAAATACTTGAGATATCAATGATTAAACCTTCGAGTACTACTGGTTACAACTTCAACTACGCTTCTGACGTTACGTACGTGTCATGGATGTGTTACTCGACTATCACGCACTCTCCTGCGGCACTCCATGTCCATAGAATAGAAGTCCCATAACGAGTTTTTCTGGAACGGGTCGGTCCACTACTTAATTGTGAAAGCGTTTACAGCTTTCACAATTAATTACTTTAGTGGTCAAAAAAAAGATCAATCTTAATGAGCGAAAAATTCGGGGTTTACTGGAAAACCAGGAGCGAGGATAGAGAATGGAGGATAGAAGATCGACGGATCGAGGATCGGTTAAAAAAACTTGAAAATAAAATAAATAATTCGTGGTGATGTGGGCCGCAGACTGAAGATAAGTTCACAAAACATAACCCCGCTTGTGGTACCGAGCATTAGATTTAAGGAAATTATTCCGAGCCTAAGTCAGTGATTGTTTTGACGAGAAAGTGAAAGATTCCTGGAAAATATGACTCTTCATCCCAGTGATACAGTGATAAAATGCATGCCGAGCACAGCTCTAAACATTGTACTCTGAGATCGCGTAAACATCAACTGTACAAAGATATTAAAAGCAGATACTAAGCAGCCATGAGAAATGTAATAACTGTCACGCAATTTTGACAACAAATTCAACAGGAATACCCGCCAACTGAATTATCTGTCTGTTGTATAAGGTTCCGCTAAACTTACACATTTTTCTTGTGCTGAACAAAAACTGTACCGAGCCGTATCTTATCCGCTACATAGAAGCTAAATATATTTATACTGATAAAAATCATCTTTCAATTTTTTGAGTGTAAAATCCCTGAGTGAGTTCTCCTCATGCACTGGAGCAATATCAATTTGCAGAAGGTTTTCAAATGCTTGACATCGGTGTGAAGCTAAGACGTGCGGTTTGTCTCGCCTTGCAAATTTTAAGTTGTGAGTTACATTATGACATATAACACTGGTTTTGTATTCCAAACGAGAGGTAGCATAACAGCACCAGCTGGCAATAAAATTTATCTCCAAGCAAGCGAGACTCAACGCTACTAAGAGCGTTCTTGTTGCCTAAAGGAGAGACAGAATTAGATAGAATTCATGAACAGACCCGTTCCAGAAAAATAGTGCTTGAATAACACGGTTTTTTAGTTTTAAAAGTACCGTAAATCCTGTATTAAGGCCCCGGGGGGGCTTATTCTTTCAAGCATTTTTGAGGGGCGGGGGGCTTATTTAATTTAGCGAAATGCATCAACGGCAGCAAGGTTTCTCGAGGGCGGACTTGTGGTTACCGGGCGCTATACTGCTTTTTTCTAACAATAAGGAAATGGTAACAATTCTTTATAGAGAACTAGAGCATAAAGTTGAAAAGTTAAGCACATGAACGTGGAAGTCATGCGGCCGAAGACCAAAAACAATATGAATTTCCAGCCTGAATAAACCATAACTGATCAGTACATGTTAATTGTTTGCGAATAATAAGGATGGAGGGGAGGGGAGGGGGGGCTTATTAACTTTCCTCCTCTGAAAAGGGGGGCTTATTTGAGAGGGGGGGGCTTAATAGAGGATTTACGATATTGGGCATAACATACAATGCATAGTCACCTTATATCCTCCACGAAGCGTACTTTCGAGTCTTTTAGTGTCATCACTCATGCTCCAGTAATAAGAATAAACCTCTTTGTTTTTAAAAGTGCTTCTGTCTGTTAGAACACCGTTGCTACCGCCAAAGAACGAGTCACCCCAACCTCCTAAATTCAGCCTATGGCTTTGAGTAATATGCGAAACTTTTCTTATAAAGTAAGCCATTAACTCTTTTCTGATCTCCTCCTCACTTTTGCTAGACGCATTTGCGAATCGATCGCATGCGGGAGACTTTCTCCAAACACCCCATGCAACTTCATCTCCTCCAAAATGATAAACAGTCAGTGGCTGTATATCACTATGCATGCGCACCAAAGCAGATATCACATGATCTAGAAATCTGTAGGTCGAGGGAATGCATGGATTTGTGACTCCATCCGTAAAGTGTTGAACGGAAAAGTAGCGAGATTTATCGTCGAAATCGCTCAGAAGAAACTTTCGTGCTTCTTTTTCCTTTCCTTCTTTTAGCAGTCGATCGTGGCGAGCTATCATGCTTTTAATAGCTGCATGACTGTGTCCTGGAAAGTCAAACTCTGGAATCACTTGAATGTGACGTTCTTTTGCATGGCGTAATATTTCCCTGTAGTCCTCAGTAGAGTAGTGCCCTGTACCCGAAGTGTTGGCGTCGGGGCCTGAGCCAAGAAGAGATAAAATGCAGTCTTTTTCCTGTAAGTCATGACATCGTTTGGCTCCGACCTGGTTTGGAAATAACAAATTAGGTGGAAGGAGCAGCATACGTTTGCATGAAGTATTTTAATTTCGTGTCTCCAATTCCCTGAAATAACCAACAATGGTTTAGGAAAATAATGATTTTTTTAGGAAAACGAGCAAAGGTTTGAATACATTAACTTGTGCACAATTGTTGAATTCTATTTGCCTGTGTAAAGTAGGCGGAAGATTGAGTTTCGAAGCACATGTAGCCTAGCTTGCGAACAATTTTTGGATCAATTTAGGTTTCTGGGGAACTGCCCACCTACCCATCCCCCAAGCCATCATTTTGCCCTAAGTGAGAAGTAAGAGTTAATGTTAGCTTAGGGAAGGGGTAGGTGGGCAGTTTCCCAGAAACCTAAATTGATCCCAATTTTTTTCTACCTGGGATTGCTCTGTAGCAAGAAGTCAAGCGAACCAGAGAGGGATTCTACAGCTACCTCGAGCCTTATACCGCATTTTCATGATTCTGAGTAAATGTCAATCTTGAATGGTTGGTCGGTGTTTGTTTGAATCCACTGTTTATTTGGGCATCCTATATTCTTTAAGAAAGAGGTTTTATTTCATTTTCTTGACTTGTTATACAACAAAAACAATGTCTGCCCAACTTATTTACAGTGACTAATATTTAGACCCGACATTTTATTCACGGCCCGGTTTTAATTGAGAAAATGTGTTAGGCGAGCTTGACTGACTTTGAATCATCTGAGCAAATACAATAATTAGTTAGGAAGGACTTTAAAGGCTAGGAAAAGTATTAAACACCCTTCTCCCTTCTCCAACTCAATGTACAAACGATGCACAAACCTCAGTCAACTCTTTGATTCCTGGTATTTCCAATCTCCATCCTTCATTCTCCGTAAGATGTAAATGAAGCTTGTTCATCTTGAACATCGCCATAGCATCCAAAAGTTTCAGAATGTCTTTTTTGGGCATGAAATTACGTCCAACGTCGATCATCAACCCTCGGTACGAAAAACGAGGGGAGTCTTTGACTGACATTCGAGCAACCTCGCACGTACCTTCAATGATGGCGAGAAGAGTCTGGACACCATAGAACACGCCAACAGGCTGCTGACCAGTTATGGTTATTGTTTGTTTGCCGTCATCTACTTGAAGATGGTACGACTCACGAGTGATGGCTGACCACTCCTGGGTGCTGTTCCGTCTTGTCAGTAAAAGCTTAATAATCTTGTGAGGTTTGGTTGTATTTCTAGTAGACAGAATTAATCCAAAATTCTTTTTTAAGCGTCCTATAAGGGAACACGACACAGCAACTGTTAAAGGCGTGCATGTGCAATAAAACGCTCCTAAAGACGGTAACTTGTCCTTTTAAGACCACCTATCAACTGTTTTAAGGAAGGTTGGAGCTCTGAGACGACTTAGAAAGCTGGTGCCTGCTAAGATCTCACTTATTTATATATTTTTTTATTTAACAACAACATTTATTACTTATAGTGCGCCCTTTCTACACTTATGCTGTACAAGGTTTATATACTTCCACACCTTGAATATTGCAGTCTATTACTATTAGGGATTAACAAAACGCTGAACAATTCAATCTGCAAACTATTATGCTTTAAAAGCCCTCTTAAATTTCGGAACAGCTTAGATTATGATTCCATATTGTCTGCTGTAAACATGCAATCACTAGAACATAGACGGTACTATCAATCTCTTGTCGTCCTTTTTAAATGTTTAAAAGGAAATGGACCTGACTAATATATTTCTAATTTTTTCGAGCCTAGTCTACCGCGTTAAAATTTAAGGAACAGTGAACACAATCTCACTCAACCATCCTATAATAATCGATATCATCACAATTCTTTCACTTTCAAGCCTTCACATTTGTGAAATCAGCTTCCTTCTTACATTAAGAGATGGGCTGAGCTGAGTGAATTTCCCCTGAAGAAATTAAGAACTTTTAATCTTATAAAGTTAAGGGCCAGTTGTAAAATGTAATTTTTGTGTTTTTTAGGGTTTTTACTATATCTTAGACTTGTTTACTTACTTATCGTTATCATTATCATTATTACTATTATTTTATCTTAGGATTTTAGTGGTTACTCCCTCCCTTTAGGGAAGGCGGTAGCCACTATGTCATGGTGTTGTAAGTTTAAGTCCGTTAGTCCGGAAACTTGCACAGGAAGCCCACTATCTTGGTCCGGTTGAGATTGTGGCCACCCTAGAAAGCGTTAAAAAATGCTTTTGGCGATGCATTTCGACAGCAAAAGTACCAGTAGTTTGCAGAGAACTGAATGGAAGTGGTTTGGACCAACAGCTTTTAAATAAAAGGGAAACATCATTGTATAAAAACATTTGTGATGCGCCTGCGATGTGCTTCTATCCCATAGTTCTTTGATCGTGTAGCTGGCGACCGTGCGTACTGGGTGCGAGCCCTAGCAGTGAATTTTTTTTCTTTTTTATTCGCCCCCTTTTTCTTAGCTTAATTTTCTACAGCACGGTTAGAGGTCTTAACAAATTTAAGACACGCAGGAGTCTTTCAGATTAGTTCGATGGTTAAGTTGGGGACTGGATTTCAAGAATCTTTGACTCGTCCAGACGAGAAGTTGAGCATTTGCTCGTCGACTCCCCAAGATCGCGGGGGATCTACAAATTCCAACTGGCTGAAAAGGAATCTGAAAGTGAGAAAATGTCATGCTATGCTATTCTTTAAGAACCTGTATGAGCCGAAAATGAATGTGATTTTGACCTCTGATAAGCTTCAAAAATAGCAGCGGAAATCGAGATAAGAAAACGTATGTTTTGCGTTCTACTTGGCAGACGAGTCGTATCGGCTTTGTATGGTATATGATATCTCTTCATAGCCATGAAATGCGTTTGCATTGATTTTTTTACTGTCAATAGCGCGGTTATGTAGCCTGCATAACGGGCGCTTTATGAGCCAAGCGAGGCGAACGCGGCATTTTGCGCGAAGCGGGAAACGAGTGTGAAGCGCGAGACGACGGGAGGAGAAAAAATGGGGCGTTCGCCTCGCTTGGCTCATAAAGCGCCTGTTATGCAGGCTACGGTTATACGGCTCCGTAAACCTTACAAGGCGTTTGCCGGCGGAAGTTTCATGGAAAAGGAATTAAATTAGAGACTTTTCGCAAGATGCCCGTAATCATCTTTATGATGTAGTGGTAAGGTGAAGTCGCGTGGCGAAGATAGTATACTTCTTATGGATAAACAGTCTGAATTTCTATTGTTTCCTACAATAACATTCCTTTTTTACTACAATATATTCTACGAAAACTAAAACAGTAGCCACATGCAGTCAGAGACTACCTTTTATTAACTTGTTCTTATGGGTTTTTAGCTTTTATTTAATTCAGTGGGATGCGGTGGGTGTTGCTTTGAATATTTCTTACATGACATTCTCGGATACATAGATTTGTATTTGTTTTTATACGTTTATGACATTTTTATTGAAATGTGTTGTATTATTATAATAATAATAATTATTATTATTATTATTATTATTATTATTATTATTATTAACTGTTTTTATTGTCATACGTTTCATGCATGAGCCTCCGGCTCGGATGATCCCCATCCCACGTATTGATGTAAATAAATTGATTATTTGGCTATTATTTTCAGCACTTTTCCTCAATACTACAACCAAATTCGGCTGAAATGAAGAGCTGAATACTGCGTTCTGAGTACATGGTAAAAGTTTCAACCACAATCTAATTAACAAATCTACCAACAATGACCACTTTTTCGATCACACAAAGTGAGGGATTCACATTGTGACGTGACCTTTATGATCTGCTTGTTATAACAATATAGAAGATTTTAAACGTCCACTTCCAGGGACATTTGCCGCAAAATCGCGCGCAAGGGACAGAGAACAATCATAACTTCATTTCGTTGCCTTTTTAACAAATAGATTCCATTTTGTTGTGTGTCGGTTCACCTAAAGATCGCACGCGACGTCGGAATATGGCGTTAAGCCAATGGGGACACACGAGCCGCAAGCGAGTGTATCACTGGTGTTTAAGACAATTTTGGTGGTCTCTGACATGAAAACCGACACATGGCAAAATAATCTATTTGTTTTAATAATAGCAATAATAAAAATAACTATTTATATAGCACTTATTCCTTAAAAGGCCACAAGCGCTTCATATTAATAAAATAATTAAAAATTGCCTTAAAAAAATAAAATATAACTTAAATAAAATCTCAATCAATCTGTCTCAGGAAAATGCCCTGAACCCATACGATTGTGTTTTCAGAAGCTGCATGTTTCGTGATCTGAGGCTACAGCAAGGTCTCTAAAAGTCTAATAGATCCTGGAGATAAACAGGTGCCATACCATTCACTACTTCATATGTAAATAACAAGATCTTAAATTCTACGCGCTGCTCTACTGGCAACCAATGAAACTCCATTAATACTGGCGATATGTGATCAAGCTTCCTAGACAATGTAACCAGCCTTGCGAGAGAGTTCAACACGTATTGCAGGCGCTGGATCTTATACTTAGGAAGGCTATACAAGAGTGCGTTACAGTTATCTAACTTAGAAGTCACAAAAGCGTGCACCAAAGTCTTCGCGGTTTCCATACTGAGAAACTTTCTAATTCTCCAAATTAATCTAATTAAATGAGTGAAAAGTAGATTTACATATTTGCTCGATCTGTTTATCAAAACTAAGACTGGAGTCAAAAATACCACAATGTTCCTCGCATGATCAATGGGCTTAAGGTTAGCGCTAGCTACTTGCAGACAATCCAGGGAGGGAGCAGGCCGATGCTTGGAAGACTAGGTTTTTATACATCAATAATAGGATATTAAATTCGAAATTGCCTCGTAAAGCTTGACACCAACGCCACTTTTCATCTCGGCTTCATCTTTTCCTCTTCATCTTACTTATAAACGTCTTTCAAACTTTTTTCCGAGGTGTTCGGTTCCTCAAAAGAGAATAATTTCGAAAACATTTTCAAAAAAGATTCGTTCAAATTTAGTCATCTTTCATTAAGTTGCCAAGAACACTTTTCCTGTAGGTTTGTTTTTTCTTACTTGTTAACTTCTTGTGACCATGTTCACTTTATCTGTTTATCTGTACTCTGTTTAACCAAATCTACATGTAATCACATCGCGGGATGGCGCACTGGTGAGTGTAGTGTACAGCGGTTTTCCGTTACTTCATCCGCGACTTACATCCGGGTCGATTAAAAACGAGAGCGCGCGCAACGAGTGTTGTTCACTGAGTGTTGGGGCGGTCGTGAATAAACAGGATTCTTGTTGAGCCTTTGTGGCGGGTTTTGTTATCATGGATAATAGAAAGACTGGATAGGAAACTTAAGTCACGTGGGCTGATTTCTTATCGCCGATTGGTTGATTCGTTCTACGAGATGGCGTTGGATGGTTCCATCAAAGTTGAAATTTGTGACGAAACGATGGCGAAAATGGTGCGTAAGCCAGACGAAATGTAGGGTTTGTTTGCCTGCATGTTGTTCTTTTTCGGAGTTTATAGTGCTGCTTTAATTTCTGGCGTATGTTTTTGCCTTCGTTTGTTGTCTTACCGCGATGACGACCTTTCAAAGCCACACTTGAACCCTCGAGGTAAGCACCTCTTGTTGTTGTTTTGTGTTATTTGTCCTTGTTTTTGAGAAAATTGCGTCCCAAAAATGGACCTTACCAAAGCCATATTTAGTAGACTAGGCGACTGTTTTGGGACACCTCTAATATGAAGGTTCCTTCTTGTTTCTATTCATAACTACGACTGACAGAGCTTTTAAGGATGGAATTGTGGCATAGGCATAATTACAGACTGGGTGCTGTTATTTTCCAGCCATACATTTGGATTAAAAATGGCGGAAATTAACTACATTCGGAGCTGGCGCCGAGAAAGTGTACGCACATGGTGTGTAAAGTTCCAATCGGCAGACTAGTTTCTGTTAATGATATATGAAATAAATCATATATGAACAGCTAGTTTGTCTAGTTTGTGTTGAGAACTGTTTCGCTCAAGTAATATCCCAGATTAACCCTGCTAATTGTTCGTAAAGCAGTATGTTAATTTCGCTCATCTTTTAATGTTAAAATAAACGCTGTGGCTATATGGCCGGTAACCGGTCAAGGTTTTCAAAACACTAAATGACCGGCAGTCCTATATTCTCAGTAAATTTCACAAAATCGAAAAATCCCCGCTAATCTAAAATCGTATGTCGATTAAGAAAAGTCAAGCGATCCTGAAATGCTTAAAAGATCTCAAGTCGAGCGTTTGTTTGCGCTGGGCTCAGAAGACGAAACCATGTTTTGTGACACTTAGACCTTAGAACCTTTTTCAGCTCGACTGCCGGTGATGGTTTTCAAACACTAAATTACCGGCAGTCCTATATTCTCTGTAACATTCACAAATCGAAAAAATCCAGCTAAACTAAACTATCATATGTCGATTAAGAAAAGACAAGCGAAATTTACTGAGAGTACAGGACTGCCGGTCATTTAGCTTTTTCAATATCTTGACCGGCAGTCGAGCTGAGAAAGGTTCTAAGGTCTAAGTAAACCAAACGCTAGACTTGAGATTTATAAAGCATTTCAGGATCGCTTGACTTTTCTTAATCGACATATGATAGCTTAGATTAGCTGGATTTTATAAATTTGTGAAATTTACTGAGAATATTGGATTGCCGGTCATTTATGCTGTGGCCATATGGCCGGTAATGCATCAGTCAATTCCACCTGCGCCCAGGCCCCCCCCGGGCTGACCCCCGGGAATTGGCATTTTTTTTGCCTTGGATGGCAAATTCACGAGGGTGGGGACTCTTGAGCTGGCAAATCCCCCGGGGTGGGGACGAAAAAAGAGGGCAAATGCCCCGTCCTCCGTCAACAGTGCAACATTTTTTATTGATCGCACAGTCCAATAGTATAATAGCGCTAGGATTCTAATTAAGACTTCACGTCGCGAGGACATGCACCAGTTTATGGTTTTAGTATTGATATAAAAGTATTGACATTAAAATTAACAGAGTGCTGTAAAGTTATATGTTATGAATAGTTTTATAAATATGAAAGGGTGTTCTTCAAATAATATCAACAGAAAGTTGATTCAATAACCAAAAAACGTTGATTCACATCGGTAGCTCCAATTTCGCTATGTAATTCTGGCTTGATAAGCAATGAAGAAATGCATACATACATGTAAAATCGTGAACATGCCTTTACAACCCTCTACAATTTATTCCTGTCCTTGACAGATGAGCCAGTCTGCTTTTTTTTTCCAGTAAAACCTTCTGTGTAGTTATATTCTGATAGGAAACCGCGTGCGTGTCAAAAGCTCGGGAATGGCCCGGGGGTTGGCAAATGCCCGGCCCCCGGGCAGTGAAAAATTTGCAAATGCCCCCCCCCCGGGACTGAAAAGGGGGGTAAATGCCCAGCAGTAGCCCGGGGGGGGGGGGGGCTGGGCGCAGGTGGAATTGACTGATGCATAACCGGTCAAGGTTTTCAAAACACTAAATTACCGGCAGTCCTATATTCTCAGCAAATTTCACAAAATCCAAAGATTCTAGCTAATCTAAACTATCATATGTCGATTTAGAAAAGTCAAGCGATCCTGAAATGCTTTATAGATCTCCAGTCTAGTGTTTGGTAGAATCTTTCGATTTTGTGAAATTTACTAAAAATATAGGACTGCCGGCCATTTAGTGTTTTGAAAACCTTGACCGGTTACGAGCCATATAGCCACAGCGTATAAAAATAAAACTACTAAATTCCATATCCAGTGAATACAATCGCCTCACGTCGCTCCTCGCAGTTTGTATTCGAAGGCACTGAAGAGACTCGAATAATTTTTGTACTTTTCCCTTTCATAAACTAATGATTGTAGCATGAGTGCAAACGCACCTACTGACATTTTTTGGCCTCCGTTTGGGCTCCTAAGTGTTGTTGTTATTTTTTAAACAGTGTTTTAGTTTTCCCTTTTTTTGTCTTTTTTGTAGGATTTGCTGAACGCATTTAGTCAATGAAGACAAAAATTGTGGTCAAGTACTCTTCTGATACCGCACAAATCAATCAATCTTTCTGTATTAAACAGCAACAAAGTTGCTTTTGTCATGCATGAGAGCCAGAAGGTGGCATCTAATTTATTTATGATCAGAACTTGCTTTAAGCTTTATTCATCACTTCTGAAGTGTATTCATTACTTCTTTCTGGCTGGGACAAATTTACTGTGTTTTAGGGTCACTGCATGTATTAGCTAAAGAGTCACGTGTTTTAGATTTGGTTAGTGTTCTTCTCTAAAGCGTTGTATATCTGAATCATTGTTTTTCAAACCAAAGATGGACTTGATTAGCACTATTACTGTATTCGGTTTTTAGAGATCCAAAGCAACGATGTACCTGTAGATGATAAACCTTCGGCAAGATGTATTCTAAATCAAATTAATAAAACATATACCTGTACTTGTTTAGGGTATGAATTTTGTTTTTAACAACATGATTATGTGACCAGACGGTCATATTTTTTTTCCACCCTTTATCCAATTACCTCAGGCTAAACAAAAAACTGAATGTTACTGTTTTTTTTTTATAATCAGATTCTGTTTTCCTTTGGGAACAGTGTTAATGTTGATTTCAGAGGAGATTTACAGTATTCCCTATCCATATCATTTACCACTACAATACAAAAACTTTAAGGTTGTTTCATCCTAAAAAAGGGTCAGTATTTCAAAGATAATATATTTCTAAGCTTTATTAAGCCTCATGGAAGACAAGTGTTTCCTCATGAAAAAAAGTGAAAGTTCTACTATTAACTAGGAAAGATTGCTTCCAAGTTGTATTCTAGTAGTTAACAATTAACCATTTTACATAACATTTTTAAAAGCGTTGCAGTTTGCTTTTTTTAAAGAACTGACTGGAAAGTACCTTGGGTAATTGTACATTTATACCTGAAAATAACAAAACAACTTGCTTTACTCTGAAAATTGGTTGAAAAAGTTAGAAACGGCGTTTTCACGGTGGTCCGCAAGCAAATTTCCTCTCTCTGCTGCGAGCTTTTTAACCCCGCTTTTTATATATTTCTCAAATACGGATTCTTGTCACTAGTTGTTCCTAAATGAATTTGAGTGGAAAATTAAACCCTCGTTTGTATTTGACACATCAAGCCTCGACAATTTTACCGCTAAAAAATCACTTTGTCAAGGTTGTTAACTTCGACACTCGCTGAGCTTGTCGACAAAAGCAGAAAAGAAATCGTCAAAACCGTGATAAAAATAAGTAAAATTATTTCCGGCTTTCTTGTGGTTTGTAGAAAATAAGGCTGCGCCTTTTTACAGGTGTTTTGTAGCTGTATGCATGTAGGTTTTCATATAGTTTTTATGTAGTTAGGCTTCCCGTTTAGTGCATAAAATTATCAGGCGCTGGAGTCATTCTTCGCTCTCACAAGTTTCACAATCATTTACTCTGTCTTTTTTGCCTCTACCGGTTTTGTACCCTCTAACTGTCTTCTCCAAGAGCAAGTCCTCTTCATGCTTTACTTCAAAACATTGCCAATCTGTATAGTAGAGGACAGAGATAGTGAAATGTGCGAGGAAAAATAAGACGCGCAAAAGATCGGATGTAAACGTAAGAGGTTGAATGGCTCTCGATAATGTGACGTTACATTTTTCCACTATGTTGAAACAGATCACGTCAGCCAGTTTCCTATCTAGTCTTTCTATTATCCATGTTGTTATCTATACAGCAAATTGGCGACGAGGATTTTACAGTCATCGGAACGAACTTTACCGCTGTTGGAGTTAACGGGTTCGGCTTCGCAGGTCGCCGAAAGGTGGAAGCAGTGGAAACGAGCGTTTCAATATTACATCAAAAGAAAGGGAGTCACGAAAGAAATCGCAATTACTTCACTTGGCAGGGTTAGAAGTACAGGACCTCTATGAAGATCTCCAAGACTGTGGACCGATTAACGCGTCGACTGACAATAAGTATAAGATTTCCTTCGAAAGTTAGATCCTCACTTTCGTTCTGACGTTAATGTGCCTTACGAGCACCACGTGTTTCGACACTTGACACTTCAACAGGGAGAATCTGCTGACAGATTTTGTTGGGTTTGAAAAAGTAAGCGCGATATTGTAATTTTGGCGGAAAATAACCTACGAGACTGTCAGCTTATTGAAATGTTGCCCGACTTGGATTGGAAGAAGAAATTGCTTGAGGTCAAACATATTTGACTACAGGAAGCCATGGATAAAGTTTGTTTGTGGGAGTCGGCACGGGAGCAAGCTTCGCAGATGGCTTATCATAATCAAGATGTGGAAGCGAGTACGAATGCGGTCAAAGCAAAACAAGTTGAAACGTGTTTTAACAGTGGCAAGGAAGGTCATTTTGTCCGCGACTCGAAGTGTCCACCAAGAGGGAGAAAGTGTGTGAAATGTGATAGGTACGGTCATTTGGCTCGCTGCTGCAGAGGGGAAAAGAGTGGATCGAAGCTTAGAAGAGATGAGAGCGGATAAGAGACAGACCAGCAACTTTTAAACAGGAATTCCAGTCAGAAACAAAGTCATAAAAGAGGTGGTGCTAATCTTGTTGAGTGTGATGAGGGTCAACCAGGTGAGTAAGATTCATTTGCTTCTCCTTTAGTGGAAGAGGTAACATGTGCATTATTTAACAATTAATGAATGAGGCTGAGTATCTTACGAAGAATTATGGAGATCGAGGAGGGTGTTACTGCCTCGCCGGATAACACCCTCCGAGATCTCCATAATTCTTCATATGATACGAAAGCCGAATTCAATAATTGTTTTATTATTCATTCAAAATAATTCCTAGTTTAAAAACATAGCTAAAACAAGCTTACCTGCATCGATGTTAACTTTATCTTCGATAGTTTACGTTTAGGTTTGTTCAGCTCCGCAAATATTCTCCAAATAGCAGATGTCGTCCTCCGAGTTGTCTTCTTGCTGTTTTTGCCATGTTTTTAGCCATTATTTCGCCTAGTTCCAGCTGTAGTTCTTACTTTTGAAACGAGTGAAGTGTCCGCTATTTTAGTTTTTACAACGAAAACAACTCAATCTGGTCCCCAGGTCTTCTCGGTTAACGGTGCATTAACCTGTAGATGGCTGCATTTTTGACGTCATTTCCTTGTTAAACACAAAATTCTTCCAATTTGGTCATCAGTAACTGGTTATGGTGAATTATGCGTGGGCTTTTAGCCAATCAGAATTGGGGAAATATTTTGAATGAATAATAACAGGTGTTAAGGATCCTGTTGTTGTAGTTAACATTGGGGGGATTAGTCGTGAGGTGTTAGTTGCTTCTGGATCAGCGAGTAATTTAGGGCGCTTTCCATTTACGAAAAAAACCCGGAAATTTCGGTGGTAGCAATAGTGGAATTTCCGATCGGTAAAAAGTTGTTCCATTTGGTCGTAAACCCCGGTACGTGGCCGGGTGCCCGACCGTGGACCTGGAACTGGTACAAACTACAAGAAACGTCAATGGAACACGACATTCCGTGCGGAAATTCCAACCGGGAAAACGGGACCACCTTTTTAGATTTTCCACTTTTTCTGGGAATTTTCCAGTGGGACGAACCGACGAAACGTGTTCCATTTACCGCCGAAACGGAAATTCCGGAAATTTTGACTAAATGGAAAGCGCCCTAAGGGCGCTTTCCATTTAGAACTTATATGGCCATGGAGGCACGAGTTAGAGATATGGGGCAATTTACTTCAGTTGTTTCGATGGACAGTGTGAGTGTTTCTGTGCAATTCATTGTTGTTAAGAAGGGGC